TTTGCATCACTACAAAATACTGTTTTCAAAAGTTTTATTGAATTTAGTTAAATATGATAGAGTTGGCTATTGTTTCTAGTTCATTAGTTGCATTGCGCCAAGCGTCAAAGGTCATCACAACTGACGTGTGTCTGCCCCATGCCTTATATAGGAAATGGTATTTCATATGCTATTCCTTAATATTAAAAACAAATTAAAAAAAGATTAGAAATTGAAATAATTTACGACTCGGGCAGGACTTGAATCGACACCCTAAGCGTTCCGTCCTATTGATCTAACCGAGTCCTAGACGTCATCGGCGATTCAAATTTTTTTGGCTCATTGAGATTTTAACTTATCCTCATTTTTAATTTATATAGTGCCATGTGCAAGAACATGTAAAAATACTTAATGTTTCAAACGAATTAAAAGTTAATAGAAGTCGCAATAGCATAAATTGTATCGCTTATTCCTATAACACAAAGTTACGTAGTTATAATTATTTTTATTTAGAAACAGTGACATTAATATTAAATGTCAATATTACGTCGTTACACCGCTGGTACAGTTTTCTAATTCATTTGTCTTCGCAATGATCGATATTAAATGAATTATTTAGTGAAAGCAATGAGATCCGTCATCGCTTGAGATAAAATAATGGAGGTAAAATACGGTAAAGGTATTTTATGCACTTCAGTCTAGGCTTTGCTCACATACGAAACAAAAGCAGACGTGAAGAAAGGATAATTTTTCGTTATTAAAAAATAAAAAAAAGTAGCATTTGCAGTTTATACTTATAAGTGAAAAGTGTTTAATTAAAATACGATGTTTTTGTCTATTACTAGCTGTGCCAGTGACTTGGTTTGCGTAGAATATATAGTTTTCTCCATTTTCCCCGCTGTTTCTGCGCTCCTATTAATCGCAGCGTGATTCCTCGATAAATGTTCTAATCAACACAGTAAGAATTTTTCAATTCCTACCAGTGGTTTCTGAGATTAGCGCGTTCAAATAAACAAACTCTTCAACTTTATATATTAGTATAGATTAATCTTAGCTAAGCTTAGCTCTTCAATACAACAAACAAATATTTATGCTACTTAATTAGATGACCCCTGTCGTCTTTTGTTTAGAGGAATAAAAAACAAGTGGCATTACTGCTGTTAGTTAGATTTTGAAATCGTCTAAGTCGGTCAATGTTGCCGTGTTGACACTTTGTCGTCACGATCGATACACCGATTAGACCGACGAAGGCTTAGCTAACTACTGTGCATGTGTGAAAAAATGTACATGTAATGGTCTAGAACTAACTTTCAAGAGACCTAACAAAAACAACGAGATAACGCACATATAGAAGCAAGTGTAATCAATAATGACACGTGTTGATAATTAATAATATACGCTAGTTAGGTTATCAATAACATTGTCGCATTGGTTTCTCTAAATCTAGCATTTTATATATGTATATATATTTTTATGATAGTGGAGGACAAACACGGGGTTCACTCGATGGTAGGTGAATTCCCAGCAATATAACATGAACGAGATTAAGCATTTAATATAATGTGCCTTTTTCATATGCGGACTGTGGTTCGTGGCGCGGACGGATATCCAGATTTCCAGACGAAGTTCAACATGTTTTACAAAATTTAACGAAACATGTAAGACACGGTGAGGTTATTATCGAACCCACGACCCATTGATGATTGTTAGCCATACATTTATATTATTATTTATTTATTTTAAATAGTAAAATATTATATTCACTTTGAACCGTCGACACACAAAGAAACTAGCACTTCTTAAGATAATTTCGGTTATCTTATCTTTATTTCGGGCCGTACAGTTCGTATACCGAGATGAAGTACAAAGAACAAAACGTTTTAAAATTAAATGCATACATGTCTGCGATTAGTGTTACCGCGTTCGTAAGTGGGACGAAAATTGAGAACCGATTAAAGTTTGCGTGACAATGCTATGCATGAAATGGTTCAAATTATGGCTAGTGAATGTGTTGAGTCGGCCTTTGTAGCTAAATAATTAAATGTGGAGCCTAGCAATGCATAAAGCGTGATAGGTCCTCGGGTCGAATCCCGGGAAAACAATAGACTGTTTCGTTCTGGCCATAGAAGTGGGTCACTTTCTTGCGTTTAAATAAAACCGATAAGTTTATGATAGCACTCTATGGTGTTACGTAAATAACCTTGTATTATAAAACATAAATTCACGATTAGCGTGTCACAATATTTTCATTTTATTCATTTAGCGGGTTTGGTTTTTTGTGAAGAATACATCCAAGATCTAAATAAAATGTGGATCTATTCTGGCTTCGAATATAATAACTTACTTCTCAGAATCTGCTACTCGTGTACCGGACGGTATTGGGGTTTCCTTGCACCCATTTCATGTGCAAATTTTCTAGATAAAGTCATAATATATTTTAGAATAATTGAAACTTGAATTTTAGGAAGACTTTAAAACCCTGTTATTACGATGATTATTGGCCGCAACATTCGACTAACGAGTCCGAAATGTTTGGGATGACATAAGTTTGTTCTTGTGTTTATTTGAGTGTTATTTTAGCATTTAAAGACGTACTACGCAATAGATAAATATCTAAATAACTTATTTAGTCTACTGTATGTACTCACAAAGGTTCTACGATGATTATTAATATTAATAATTGCCGTTATTAAAATGGCTATTGTGGTTTTATAACCGTAAGAAATAACACGTAATTATAGGAATTTAATTTAATTCGAATGAGGATTCTTATAATTTCCTGGCGGTTGTGGCTCAATATACATTTATGATATAAATGAAAAGTTGAGAAAAATACAACATTTTCACTATAATATATTCATACGCGAATACACACGAAATAAAGATGACAACCCCTTTTATCGTACTCGTGATTCGTTAACTATTTCAGTATACATTTTATAATTCTGTTCTGTAAATCTGTTTTAAATTGGGGATTACAATGCCAATTATTGTTGTTAATAATTAACAGATTATAAAACACTATAATTCGCATGTTCGTTTGAAAGACTACATAATAAATGAGTTACAACAGAAGTAATTTATAAGCAGTAAAATAATGTTGCTAATCGAATTAAGCATTTGATATGAATCGAGTTAAAAGAAACGTGTTTTAAAACACAAGTTTATTCACCTTACCATATTGTTATTTCATGTTGGAATTTGAAAAGGCAAACGATAAGATCTTCGTCCGACTTAAATCTCTGTAATCGCGAAATCAAGGCCACGTACAAGAGGTTCCAAGTGGAGATGCGCAAGCGCCGATACCTTTGTCAGTCGTCGGCAGAAACGGACCTCGATCGAAGCTCTCGTAACTCAGCATTCAACAAAAACGGAAAACATTGATTACGTCATTAGAAACATCGATGCACAGGAGCCACTGTGCCTCTACACATATCGCCGTTTGACACTTCCGTTTAAAGGAACCTTCTTGAAACGCTGGGGTGATAACTGATGATAATATTAAATTATGATAAGGAGGCAAGTTGTATATTGTGAGTGAATCGGAATCGCATGTCCGCCGTGCACAGTGCTAAGACAATGCTGCGTCGGCAGTTTTCCCACGAATCGGGAAAGACGGCCTTGGTGCAAGCGCCTCAAGAGTACTTCGACAGAAGGTATTCCAGCGTTGCTTATTTAAAACTCGTTGCTAACTTCGTGCCTTCGCTCCATGTTTACATAACATTGGCAAGACACAGTGTTCTTTTGTTTATTGCAAGTCCAAACAATACGTGTGTCGTTTTTTTGAAATATTGCGAAAAACAAAATTACCTATTCCGTAAAAGAAGTACCAATAATTACTTCTTTGTGCCTTAAACATTTCTATAAGTATAACTGTTACTTGTTAGTATGTATATCGATCACACGTACGACTAGTGTACATGGATTCGAATAGGTTTTTGTTTATTAAATCAAAGGTCCAAGGGTTAATGCATTACTAACGTAGAACGCCCGGTGTTATTATACAGCGTGATCGGAAATAAAATGTAGGTAAAAATTTAATATAACCTTGCTCGTTCGCTTACGTCGTTTTGCACTTTTTTGTTGCACAATTCGCTTAATGGTTAAGGTATTTATAACAGAGGCCATCACACCTTGCCCTGGCCTTAGCATACAAAAGTTTTGTATAATTATCTACTTATATTGTTTTAGGGTTCACAAAAGCTGTTCACCAAAAACATTTTTACCCACATCGTTTAAATTTTGGTAAGGAATCCCTCCTTCGGGATTCCAACTCGCAATTGGCTGTTTACTATTTTTTAGCCTAGACAATACTGTGTATAGTACTTCTGATCAGTTAGAAAAATAACCATCAAGACGACGCAAGTGTATGTTTGCAAACCTTAACGTCCTTGCGAGCATCTTGGATTTATTTATTTTATACGCTGGTGTGAATTCGTGAAGGCGCGTTATGAAGTTGAAACATCCTATTCCACAAGATATTTGTATCGTTTATAAAACAACCTGTTTAATTTTAATGAATTCAGTGTTTGCGTAAGGCGGCCGCTGTACGCTTCAGTTTACTATTCTGACGGATCAAATACTTAGAATATGCGTTCAGGTGATTTGAATTGTGCTAGCTATTGTTATAATAAAATAGATTGCAATTAGCAAGAGTTATCTGCATACAATCTTGCTTTTCCTTTGTTTAAATCATAATATGTATAAATTACAATAATGTAGTGAAGAAGTGATAAGTGTGGTTTTTGTACGTAACCGTCATCGTGTCAGATCACTAGACCGTTGAAGCAAATTTCGCAAATCACCAAAAGATTTTGAGAGAAATTCCATACTTTCTAGAAACATCCGATACTTTTTTTTTTTTGTGTCCGATATTAATGTTACATGAAGTTATGCGTAAAACTGCGCGTCTTTTTGTTTAACGAATTAATGGAACTCTTCTTTAAAAAAGTGGGTTATCAAAATGTCAAACAAGAACCACAATTTCTCAGACGTCTTATATAGTTAATCGTTTGTTTCAGACGGACGAGGTCCCTGAACGCACCATCCCCCATACAGCAGTTTGGACCATGTGGCAGAATTATGAAAAACTCTGCAATGGTTATGTACGTATATCAATAGTTTTATGTGAGATAAGATCCTTTTTAAATAAAGGAAAGCAATGTATGACCGGCTTTACCTTCATACTATGTATAATGGCAAGATGTGTAAAATTGCAGGCAGATTCAGGACCCAGCGTCCCAGCGGCTGACATGGTACAAGCCTCCACTCACAGTGCTGGTCATCAAGAAAATCCACGACGCCACAATCATTACGCCCTTCGTACAGTTGGTACATTGGCTCGTTCATGTAAGTAAATTTTTATTGCACTAATGTAATAGGAACCTTACCGTTTCTATATGCACGATTTTAGTTACATTCTTATTGTTTCTTGTTGGACAAGAAGTAGGGTTTTTCGTGGACTTGACTTCCCTGAGTCACTAAAATATAATTCTAGAAAAGACTATTAGGGCACTGGAGGGTTATTCAAAAAGGTTATAATTCTTCACAATTATAACCATTGTGCTTACGAGTGTTAAAACTGCTCTATTCTCTACATTAAATTATAACTTTGTAACTCATTTTATTATTTCAATCAACGTTAAAATGTAAATGTTTGGTACAAATGAATGTAGATTTTAGATTATAGACGTACATTAATATTAATGGCCAATTTATGGTCGTAACGTCACCAGCCCTTATAACACCGTTATTTCGGAAATATAGCGCGCAATTCGAATGATGTTTTTAATTTTATATATATCAACAAATATGTATCAAAATTCAAAAATACTACTTTTCGGGGGTCTATCTACCAAATAATATACTCGTAAAGTACATTTTAAAGGTCAATCATATCATAGCCCGTCGAATGTATATCGATATTGTTACAGTTTAAATCGGTCTTGACTGCTCTTAGAAAGTCACATACTGCATATTTAGTCCAACGTGCATCAGAAGGTGATTCACATCAACTAGTCTTTAAACAATGCAACTGGAGCAGACAATTCGGCATTTTAATATTGCGGTGAATCATGTGACTCGGTACGGGAATGTTCATCCTTTAGGATTCGCTTTTGTTCTTGTTTCTCTTAAATTCTTTTAGTTTTTTGCTTATCCATTGTGAGTCATGGTATGTCCGAACCATTGTTAATTGTATGTACAGTATATTGATAAGACCTTTAGTTAGTTCTACTTTTTTGATTTCAATTGGCTTTGGGGCCATCGCTTAGTCGAAGGGACGATCGATTATCCTGTTTTTAGCAAAATACAGTAGAACGTCTTTAAGTCGAAAATCTAGGGAGACGCCAATAAATTCGAGTTATAGAGTTTTCGACTTAGAGAGAATTTCGACTTAGGCGGATTTTGATTGGACATAAAGAGGTTGAGATTCATTATTATAAATTTTGAGTAAGAGAGGTTAAATAAAAAAAAAACAAATTCGGTACGGTTGTTTTCTATCTATAGCATTGTCTAAGGTATAAGGGCAGAAAATTCTTGTTCTTCAGAGTTTGTTTGCTCTATAAAAGTCCGTAAAGTATTCAATGCGGTTCTTGCCTCAACATGGACACCCATGGAGCGGATATATTAGATGTCTGGTTCATTTTTTATTATTGTCGACAAAGTACTCATTGGCAGGCCAAATTGTTCGGCAACATCTATCTTCTTTTGACAGCTCTTCACAACTTCAAGCACTTATAATTTTTAAGCAAGACTCAAAGTTTTCAGCTTCCGTTTCATAGTACTCATGTTTCCAACAATATTTGTAAACTGATGTACAAATTTTATTATCCTATTTATTGTTATTAATGAAATAAGCAAGCCGAACTTTTAAGTAAGAACTTGTCTAGACCACGGTAATATTAATTAGGTAATCATAAGATTTTTACATCATTTAAAGAGGAATCAGGAATTCTTTCATACATTTTTTTTTGTTTTATTGAACCATTTTCGCAGCGTTACGCATCGGAAACCCACAAAAGTTAATAATTTTCCCATGTCTCCGCATTTTTTTGCTGTTTCTTTGTTCCTATTAGTCACAGGGCAGGTTTTATAGCCTATAACTTTCCTCGATAAATGTTCTAATCAACACAAAAAAAAAACAACTCGAACTAATGGTTCTTGAGATTAGCGCGTTCAAATAAACAAACAAACTCTTCAGCTTTTTATATTAGTATAGATTAAACCGTTCAAAAAGCTTCATTTTAAAGTAATACAACCAGATCTGTTAAAAAAACGATGTTGGTTAATAACTATTACCATACCATATTATTTACCAACAATTATGCTTTTCAGGACAAAAGCATGGTGGTGTTCGTGGAAGCGTCGGTGCTAGAAGACAGATTGCTGTCGGAGTACGGTAACTTCAACTTGGTGAAGGAGCGCCTGATGACATTCCGAGCGGGGACCGACGACCTCACCGACAAAATAGACTTCATCATTTGCTTGGGGGGCGATGGGACGTTGTTGCATGCCAGCTCACTGTTTCAGGTAAATAAAAACTGCCATTTACTTTGCAAACATAGATCCCGAGGCTAAATTAAAACATAGACTATTAAGAAACGTAGGACTATATTAAATACTGTCTATAGTTTACGCGAGTAGTATACATTTAAATAAAACACTTTAACGGTTTAAAACGCGATATATTAGTTAAACTTATTTGAAAATGATTTTTAACTTCGGCCCGACGTTTCGGATGCTTTGCAGCAGCCGTGGTCACGGGGAGACTAAAGATGGAGAATGTCTCTGACGTCAAAGTAAAAAATTGCTACGCTAGCGCCATCTGTTCCGTCGAAGTTGGTATTTGGCGAAACTGGCCGGGTCCTTGCAGAATTTATTAACGGTGTCTTCGCGTTTGCCGGTATGCTGTTTATGGGGGTCCAGAGTTCTGTATCCCAATAAACAGCATACCGCGTTTTAAACAGACATTTTAAACCGTAAAATTGTTTTATTTAAAAGTAGGACTATATTACCAATGTTTACCAAACAAAGCCAATCAGCTGTTAAAAGTACGTCAATAAATTAAAGAATTATATAAAACCGTAAAAAGCTTCGTTACAAATAAGAATTACTTCGAAAGTCGCTTTAAACAGTTTCCAACGCGAAGGTTGAGTTAACTTATCTACAATTTATACTATTAATATTTTAACTTTGGCTCGACGTTTCGGATACTTTACAAACTCAGTCGTGGTTAGGTGGGGACATTTCGCGTTTTAAACCGTTTTAAAGCGGTTTTTTAATGTGTACTACTCGCGAAAACTACAGACAGCACTTACATAGAAACTTCTCTTCAGCTACTGTGGGGTAACGCTGCCGTTTAATGTATCTTTTGTTGCAAAAATGGGCGGTCCAGGCTATCTATGGTATGGGATCAGAAAATTTATCTCGGGAGTCATTAAGAGATACCTTTAAAAATATCGGCATACTTACTGTGTACTCGCAGTATATTTATGAAAATGTATTGTAAGCCCATTAGAATAAAAGCTCGTTTAGCAAGAATAGTGATAGGCATAATTTGAACTTACGAAATAAGGATAACCTAGCTATCCCCAAATATAAGCTCCATAAAATATCTAATTCATTTGCGGGGAATTGTATTCGTATGTACAATACATTGTCAGTTGAGGTGTCAAATTTATCGATAAATAAATTTAAAAAAGTTATAAAACTTAGATTGTCTCCAAAGGCGTATTATTGTCTGGACGATTTCTATAATGACAAGACCGCCTGGCAGTAATATGAACCGCTCCTTAGGTTAATAAATACACAATGTATTAGTTTATAAGATAAGTTAAAAAAAAGCCGGACTGAGTTTCTTGGGTGTTCTTCTCAGTTATGTTGCTCTATTGAACACTCTGTAAAATCACGACGACGAGACAGATAAACAAAATTTTTTTTTGACGAATCTAAATAATTTTTTAAATTTCAAGGAGAATAAAGTATTTTTATCAATGTGTATTTAATACTTTCCAGCAATCAGTACCGCCCGTGATGGCGTTCCACTTGGGTTCGCTGGGATTCCTTACTCCGTTCGAGTTCAATAACTTTCAGGAGCAAGTCATGAATGTTTTAGAAGGTATCAAATACCTATAATCTCTTTAACTTTCAAATAATTTGTACGTACAGGGGCAATTCACTAACACTTCCTTGAACGTTAGTAACTAGTTTCACATAATTTGCAATTTTGATATTAACTTTAGTAGAGAATCGATTAAGATTCCTTTAATTTGCAGGCGGGGTACGGAAGTCTTATTAATTACCTTCTGTAAATAACAGTATAAATTGTAAATAATCAGTGAACAGATATATAATTGTATTCGCCCCATGCCCCACAGGGAAAAACGCGATGACTTGAGAATTGTTCCGTAGAATATAAATAAAGAAAAAACAGTGGTGATTTTATTTTAATATTAGAAAATTTAATAATAGTTTTGAATTCTTATATTATTTTTTAAGTCATGTGCATATTATTTATTAGTAACGTGTTATACATTGCTAGGTCACGCTGCTTTAACTTTACGGTCTCGTCTCCAATGCGTGGTGCTCCGGAAACGAAAAGATGACGATAAGGACAAGAAGAAGCCAACGACGATACTGGTGCTCAATGAAGTGGTGGTCGATCGGGGGCCTTCGCCCTATCTCTCGAATATTGACTTGTTCCTTGATGGAAAGCACATCACCTCGGTGCAAGGAGACGGTTAGACTATGTTTCATCTATTACTAACAAAAACGTTTATTTAAAATTCTGTACAAAACTTGCATTTAATACTTATATAATAAAAATTATAAAAAACCATTCACAAGGACATATTTGGATGTTACACAATAAAGTGGAAATGGTAAAATGTTGCTTTCCCGGTGTAGAACTTTCTTGGTTATGAAAAAGGAGCTTAGACATCGGATCCACTTTATAGAAGATGACATACCCAAATAATCACATCTTGTTTAGATGTCGACCTTATTTTCGCTATGAATGAAAAGAAAACAAAACAGACATTTCATCTTTGGACGGTGGTTAATAATCCGTACAGATTTTCGATATTCATATCATCCATTTAATGTCCAGATTTCCAGATGAAGTTGAACATATTTCTAAAAAGTTATATATGTTATAAAAAACCGCGACTCGTTAATATTAGCCATAAATTAGCTACCATTAGGCCAACAAGGGCACAATTCTGTTTTACTCATAGTTTGTTGGTACCTGAAGCGCACATATATTTTTAATTTAATTTCCAGGTCTTATCGTTTCAACTCCGACGGGCAGCACTGCGTATGCCGTAGCCGCTGGCGCGAGTATGATCCATCCGGCAGTGCCAGCTATCATGGTGACGCCGATCTGCCCCCACTCTCTCTCCTTTAGGCCTATCGTCGTACCTGCTGGTGTTGAGCTAAAAGTAATTTTTCAAATCACTAGAAAATCGTATTGGTTTATTTGTATGTATGTACACTAGGATGGAATGTAGGGGATGTTTGGGGCACTAGGATCAACCTTGTGGGATCTTCCTTGTGATGCACCAAAACTCATAAATATTTCTCTTTGCGCAAATCTTATACCTCGTATACGTATAACATAATAAGAAATGAATATTTTCAAACAAACTCGAGCAAGTGTGAGGGCAGATTAAATTACATAAGTTATTTAATTGTCAACTCAAGTGCATTATATAAGGATATTTCTTTTTTTTCAGATTGCACTCTCACCCGACGCACGCAACGCCATGTGGGTATCATTTGATGGGAGAAATAGACAAGCTCTGCAACACGGCGATAGGTAATTGTTATTATCTCAAAAATCTAGCAAAGCATAAATATTTGCTACTTTTTAGCCTGAAGCTTTTGTCTGATTTTGATAGAATTCAGATTCAGTGTAGCATGAGGCTTGATTTTTTTAAACCATATTGTTTAGAAAAATACATATTATTGAAATTGTGTACCTATAATTTTAAAGCGTAGTTTCGAAGTATACTGTGGTACCACAGATCAAATTTATTACTATTACCTTTGTTCTATTATAAAAAGGCAACACTAATTATCTATTATTTCAGCTTATACGTCACAACCTCAGTGTATCCCGTCCCCTCCATATGCGCCTTCGATCAGATTTCCGATTGGTTCGACTCACTGGCTGAGTGCCTACATTGGAATGTGCGCAAGAAGCAGCAGCAGAAACAGATGGACGAATTAAGTGACGCCACACAATCCTCTAGCGACACTCTCGATGACATAGAGAACAACCATGACGAGCGACCGACAGACACGTGACAATAATATAGTCTGCGCTATGGCCGCTAGTAATAGATTCGAGAGATCGCAGAAATGTCAACCAGGTGGCGGCGCGTACGCTGTATTGAACGAGCGATGTTCGTCATGGCTGCTTTATGATCAGCGCGTGTTACCTCGTGGCTGACAATTCTGCGATCACCTTAAAATATCACAAATGTTAGTGATAAAAAGTTGTTAAAATGTTATTTATAAATCTTATTGCATTATTGATTCAGTATACCTTTATACTAAACATTTTACGTCGTTTTGTAGAAACAAAGACTGCCCGACGAAGAAACGACCTAATTCGAAAACTATATCTTACATGTGTCTGACCTAATTGTGACTATAATACAGTTATTTATTTAGTAGCAGAAATATATTTGTGCAATATGTTCGATAAGGTTCCTTGTACATATAAACATGTAATGTTCTAGCAACATTTTTTTGACATTCCTATGTAAAATGTGTGTTACTTTGCTTGCTCTTGTAATAATTAATTGCCACTGCGTACAGAAATAATTTCGGCGTTAAAATACATTGGTCGTGCTATGCATGTTTCTAGATTCAAATAATTATTATTTGACAGAACTTGGTTTACAACTATTGTACCAATTTGATACTGATAACACTTGCTATTAGTAAGGGTAGGGGAGCATTCGAGGGAAAGGTGCTTTATAAAACTTTAATATGGTGTGCCAAGGCTAAAAAATATGTTCTAAAGCACAAAATTAACGTTTTTCTATAGTGTTGATTGATGGATATGACTTAAATGTACAAACAATTTTTTATGTGTAGGTACCAAATTAAATGTCATCATAGAAAACTTAATTTGAGATTTTTATCAATGACTAAATAAGTTAATTTGAATATACAAATTTGATTGACAACTTATTTTTATTTACAAATCTGATTCATCCAGTTTACTATCTTGTAGAAAAAAATAAATTTTCGTAATTATCACTTATTAGCTTTTTGGGGTGTTTGATAGGGGCGGTAGCTATCTGCGACTAGACGCTGGGTGGGTCGACCTCGGCTTGGACCATCGCAGTGCCGATCTGCGCCTGAAGATCTAAACGATTTTTTGTATCTACAAAAAAGCTTAAAAAGCCCTGTTAACCTATTTCCAGGTGGGTAGCTGCTGTGCTTTGAAAATCCATCAAAGATGCATTATCTATGGTACAATAAATTATATTCTTTGATTATAATATTAACATATGACAATTGTCATAACAGTGTGACCCTATAACGTGTCAATTGTCAAGTGATGTCACTTGACAATTGACACGGTAATTCCCAATCTTCGGAAAGAAAATAATTTTAACAAAATAATTAATTTATCACAATATCATGAATAAGTCTAAGATTGCCCCACTAATAAATTTGGTCTGTAAGAGGAATATTACTCTTACAACTCCTCGAGAAGGTAAAAGGAACTTTAGGAAATTTGTTATACCAAACAAAAGAGGTTCAAGAATTCATAAGATACAACAAACGGGCCCAAACCACGAACTGCCCATTGATAAAAGGGGCGTTCGTGATATAGGATATATGTTGAATGGAAAATTTGTTCAAGTGCCAGAAATGATACCTGAATTAATCGTACCAGATCTTTCAAATTGTACTCTTAAGCCATATGTTTCATATAAAACTGAGGATGTTGTACAAAGTGAATTCTCTTCACAGCAACTATTTGATGCTGTCTATAGTAAAAAGATTGTCTTAGATTTCAAGCAAGGCAAATTAGATGAAAGCGGTCTGCCACTTCAACCATCTGAAGAAGAGAAGTTACAACCCAAAGAGGCTATTGCTCAAGCAAAGAGGACAGGCTCAGATATATTTTGATTAGTCTAGTACATTTAGAATAGTTTGGTATTAAATGAGTTTAATATAGTGTATATTAGTGTTTTGAGTTCATTTAATGTGTATTGTTCCGCAACTTAAAAACTGTTGATACAAAACAAATCATACATTGCAAGATACAGACAGACCTTTAAGAATCAACCTTTTTACTGTTAACAAATACAAATAAGAAATATATTATTTTACATTTATCTCTTTATATAAGAGGGTAGAAAGATGCTATTAAGCTAGGTAGTTCGCAGAAACTTTATCATATAATTTATTATTAAAACCAAGGGCTAAATCTAGATGTTTTTTCATTAATAATGGTTATTACAAGAGGTGATACATTATTTAAAAAAATATACAATTTTTATTTTGTAGGTATTTTTACATTAATTTTAAAACATTAAAGTAAAAATGTTCTTATCACACTTACAACTGAGGTGAAATGGTATAAACTCAGTTGACCTTACAACCTTATGCTAAAGTATTTATTAATTCTTATCACCACTTCTTAAGAGAAATAATGTTAGTTATTTAAACAAGATTTATTGGTCACCGCAGTTGTGCGGCGCGTGCGCATAGACATAGATTGTATATCTATACGATAGAATGGGAGGTAATTATTCAGCAATGGACCCGATGGACGTTCCCGTTCCTGATATAAAGAAATTATTCGATCGTGATGGTTATTTGAAGCCGTACGAAAAGGAAATACGCAGAAGGTAGAATACAATATCTTTTTTAAATTTTACAATAGAAAAATCAATCTAATTCGCAATAGTAATACTATTTACTTCGCCATTAGGTTATGTTATGTATTTACGAATTGCTAACCAGCGCTTACCGCTAGATTCGCTTGTTTAACGTAATTATTCGTTCTTTTATAAACCACAAGTAAAAAAGAAATGATTGTATATTAAATCCTTTTTTTTCTAATCAGTAATTATTTTTAGTGTGTTTTAATTTTGCTACGTGATATACATTATTTATTTGTTATAATTCCTAACAACTTAATAAAGCACTTCAAGCGGAATATTGTACGACAAGCGCAAGATGACATTTTTCAATGTCATATCGCGCAAGGAAGGTCATAAGAATTATGGAATGTTTTTGTTGCTAAATTGCGATATAATTACAATTATTTTTTTTTAATAATTATTTAATAGATTTAGTTGATACGTCTTCTTCAATAATGAGCATTCCCAATAGGAATTATAAAACTTATTTGCCTACTTCAACTTACTACAAAAATACCGGTACTTATTATTATATACGGATACTAAAAATATGTAGATCACATAAATCTTACAATCAAATGAAATATTATATCCAGCTAGTTAATATCAATTCATATAGAAGCCTTCGTTCGTAACAAACTTTATTTATTATATCATAATTATTTTCGGTCATTTCTTTGTTTTGATCTATTAATTTGGTATTTCAGATATGGCTGCTTTAGAGATATCTGGGAAAAGATGGAGTCCTGGGAAGGAGGAGTACAGGGATTTACATCTGCTTATAAATATTATGGACCACAGTTTGGCGCTGATGGCTCTGTGACTTGGAGAGAGTGGGCGCCTGGCGCACATTCCATACATCTTCAGGGAGATTTTAGTATGTGGAACATAAGTATAAATAAAATATACACCTCAAAATCTTAATATTAAACAAGACATAAAATATCCCACAAATAAAAAGCTTTTACAATATATTTTAATGCTTAGGACTTAAATGAAATGGTTTGTGTTATACAGATGGCTGGAATTCAAAGAGTCACCCATTTAATAAGTTGGAATTTGGTAAATGGGAGCTATACATTCCTCCAAATTCAGATGGTTCTTGTCAATTGCAACACCAGAGTCGTGTGCAGATCATCATTAATGACAACCTTTACCGTGTTTCACCTTGGGCCAGTTACGTTAAGCCTTATGAAGGTTTTACATATCAGCAGTTCATTTATCGACCTGACAATGTGAGTACCTAATTAATAGCTTCCTTCCTCACCCTATAAAGACTATTAAAAATCCATTTTGATTTAAATTATAGCCTTACAAATTCAAACATTCTAAAGTACCGAGACGTGCTTCTCTGCGCATCTATGAGTGTCATGTTGGCATAGCCACCCCTGAGGGACGCGTCGGTACATACACAGAGTTTAAAGACAATGTTCTTTTGAGAATAAAAAATTTGGGTAAGCAATCTGAACTTATGTTACAATTGCGAAAGATAATTTATCATAAGCTCAAAAATCAAGGAGCTTTATATATACATACTTATGTTAGTTATAATGAATATTTTTTCACAGGCTATAATGCTATTCAGCTGATGGCTATAATGGAGCATGCTTATTATGCCTCCTTCGGTTACCAAGTGACAAGCTTCTTTGCCGCTAGCAGGTAAACAACTCTTTAAACTTAATGTTTTTAGACTAAAATAAAATATTTCCTCTGATTATTATTCTTAAAATCTGTGAAGCATCATAGAATGGTGGTTACTTTCATTTTTAAAGCTTATAATTTAAAAAATGTAAGTGTTTGTATAAATTCTTTCCCCAGCCGCTATGGAACCCCGTGTGAACTCAAAGAGCTGATAGACCGCGCTCACGAGCTCGGAATATACGTTTTACTGGACGTTGTCCATTCACATGCATCTAAGAACACCTTGGATGGTCTTAACGAGTTTGATGGTACCACGGCTTGCTTCTTCCACGATGGACCGCGTGGAACACACTCCCTTTGGGATAGTAGACTGTTTAACTATTCAGAGTAAGTATTACTAGTTTAATATCTATTAATCTCTTGCGTTTCTCGTAAGAGTATGTATGAGACAAAATAATATTTATAATACACACAGCGTTTTTGCTAATTAATGGTTTTTCAAGAATTTAACAAAATAATTGCCTTTGTTTAAAAGTATGGATACATTTAAATCTACAAATTGGTATTATTTTTTACAGAACTGAGGTGCTAAGATTTTTGCTGTCAAATCTGCGATGGTATCAAGAAGAGTACCAGTTTGACGGTTTCAGGTTAGCGGAGTAAAATATTGGAACATCACACAGCCACTTAGGAAATTGTTGTAGAAATGTAATTTTTTCTTTGTAGATTTGATGGAGTGACATCCATGTTGTACCACAGCCGTGGCATCGGTGAAGGGTTTTCAGGACACTATGACGAATACTACGGTTTGAACGTAGACACAGAGGCACTCGTCTACCTAATGTTGGCCAATGAACTAGTACATAATACAGACAATAGAGCTATAACTATTGCAGAGGTTAGTAACGAAAATCAAATTCACTCACAAAAGGGATTTTGACGGTACTTTGATAAAAATGCCATGTCAACTTATATATATTAAATGGACTAAAACGTGATTTATTGAAAAGAAAGTGTAAAAGACTTTTTCCTATTATCTGATGATTAAAAAACAGAGCATAAAATGACAATCTTTTTCAGGATGTATCAGGAATGCCAGCGACCGGCCGGCCGGTTCAGGAAGGCGGTACCGGGTTCGATTACCGTCTGGGAATGGCTATTCCTGATATGTGGATTAAGTTGCTTAAGGAGGAACGCGATGAGGATTGGAAGATGGGACATATTGTGCATACCCTTACTAACAGACGGTGGATGGAAGGCACTGTAGCTTACGCTGAGAGTCACGACCAGGTATGAAGCTCTATTAACAAAGATATAGAGAGAATATCTAGTCAAAATTTCACATAGTTAAATAAAAAGTTTATGCATAGGATAATTTGTAATAAGCAAGTTGCGCGATTGCCGTCGCGTTTGGAGCGATCCTAGATTCGAATCACAGGCTCCAGCAGTCTAATCAGTTTGATGGTAAATAAAATTATTAGTAAAACGGACAAATATGTATGCCTGTCATAGGTCAAACGGGATTTCTCTTTCATATCAGTTAACCTTTTTTCAGGCGCTAGTAGGCGATAAGACCATCGCCTTTTGGCTGATGGATAAAGAGATGTACACGCACATGAGCACACTCAGCGACCCCAGCCCAGTTATAGAGCGTGGGTTGGCGCTTCACTGCATGATCCGTCTCATTACAAACGCGCTCGGTGGCGAAGCTTATCTCAATTTCATTGGTAAGCTGACCAACTCGTTTAATATGTTTTACATAATCTCTCGTAAAAAGATAAAGAATAAAACACCTTTTGTTGTAACGTTGGGTTAAAAAAATAAAGAGCAATTCAAAAACCCAGTAGCTTTATGTTACAAAAAGACTATTGTAATAATTGAAGGCGCTAATCTTAGGAACTACTGGATCAAATCGATTATTTATAGCTTAAATCACTTTTAAAAAGAGGATTTAAGCTATAAAAAGTCAGGCTGCAACTAATTATAGGAGCGAAGAAACAGGGTTTCCGTTTTATGACACCAAAATATATATTTAAAAGAATTGTTCTTTAAATGATATAGAAAAAAAAGAAAGGATTCGCAAGAAGCTTTGTTTATGGTAATCAATTTCGGTCGAAATACTTCATATGGCAAAGTTATGTTTGAGAGGTTTTAAAAACATGTTAAGCTAGTGGAACTCATGCCCACAACCTATTTACTGAACTAAAGAGCATGCAAATGTTCTATTACTGATATTATCTCCTTAACATTTAACATTGAAGTTTTCTTCATTATGTAGGTAATGAATTCGGCCACCCCGAGTGGCTGGACTTCCCTCGCGCGGGGAACAACTCCTCATACCACTATGCGCGTAGACAATGGCACCTCGTCGACGATGAATTGCTCAAATACAAGTACCTGAATAACTTTGATAAGGACATGCACGCTCTAGAAGAAAAACACGGATGGTTGAGGTCAGATCCAGTAAGTTTTATGTACATATATGACTCATGGAATTTTTAAATAAGATTATTAAATAGCAACACTGAAATCTATCTATAGCTTAACATATTGGCGACGGTTCTCTCTCTCTATCTCCCGGTGTCTAGAAGGAATGGCATCTTAGTAAAATGGAATGGAATCGAAGTAAAAATGGAATTCTTAAAACATTAAAAAAGTCAACAGTGGCGAAACTATAGGGTGGCAAGTCGGCAAAATGCCACGGGCCCCCAGCCCGAAGGGGCCCCCGGTCAGAGGAAATCTCAATTGTTGGTTCAGCTTCTTTATATATTGGGGAAGTGGGAGGGCCCATTCGATGAATTTCCCACGGGCCTCGAACGGTATAGTTACGCCACTAAGTGTATCTTAGGACTTTTATTTATAAAGAAGCCCGACCAAATAATCTAGCACAAAATCATCGATTGCTGGAAGAGTTAATAAAGCATTAATAATTCATTCTTTGAGGAGCTAACAACATATCCCGATATTTCTCGTGATGGCGAAACATCGAGAACCTCTTCTCGCTCACATCGGCCGAACAGCCCGCAAAATAATGATATTATGCTGAACGATGGCCGTGAAATCCTTACACAATTTACATATATTTTTGATTGGAAGCTCTCCACTAAGTAACCTGGTAGTTGGTACTACTCTTTAAGTAATTTCATTCATAATTTCTTATTTTGTATATTACAGGGCTATGTCTCCTGCAAACACGAAGGCGACAAAGTGATAGCATTCGAGCGCGCTGGTCTGTTATTCGTGTTCAACTTCCATCCATTCCAGAGCTTCACTGATTACAGGATCGGAATGGATGTGCCCGGAAAATACCAAGTACTTATCTTTTAGCTCTTGCACATAGCAACACAACAACAATTTAACTACAAAACGCACCAATACGTTATTTATTGAATTGTAAGCAATATGGAATATAAAAAAGAATATTTAGATTTTCTCATACAAGACATGTTAATTTCTTTGTAGTATCTAAGTATTTCAGAATGTATAGTCTATAGTAAATTTTGTTACAACACAGCCACTAGATGGCGTTGTTTATCTATTATGAGTAGTCTAAGATTTAGGCAAATAAGTCTTTTTCGGCATAGATTCCTTGTAGTTTCACTTTCACCATTAAATTAGTCGTGTTTTTTTGATATTTTACACCACACACACACACTTTGCAGATGTCGCCTGATAATTCTGTTGTAATGTTGTTGTTGACGTTGATAACTCAAATTGAAGTCGCTCGCGATTGGTGACTGTTGTTGATATTCCCAGGGGGGTGTTCTTCCCCACGACTGTGCCCAGATTTGAGATAAATTAACGTCAACGGCACTAGATCTTAATACCATTGAAAGACCAATGTTCGAATCCCAAAAATACTAACTATTACCGGAACAGTATCCTTTGTAAAGTGCTTTATTGAAACTAAATCTTAGACTACTTATAATATATAAACAACGCCATCTAGTGCCTGTGTTGTAACAAAATTTTATATAGAATATACACAGAATAATCCCATTCACATTTTTGTCATAAATCAGTCAAGCCGTTGGACGTAAAGAGTATGTCCTATTATCCTTGCAAACTCTCACGTTTATAATACTATTTGGATTGTTTTCAGTAAACTTTAAATAGATAAAGCTAATGTACTTTCTTGTTTCAGGCCGTTTTATGCTCGGATAGTAAGAAATATGGTGGTTTTGGTCGCGTCGAACCGGATGGAGAATTCCATTTGACGCAAAATGTTGCATGGGGAAATAGAAGGGATTCTGTACAAGTAAGTTAAACTTATCTTATTTTCGACTATAAGGCAAGAACTGGGAAGTTCAGTGTTTACCTTTTGCTAGCCAAATGACATTTTTAATAAATTTTTTTTCAACAGTAAACTTTTTGTTTCTTGAGCTAATTACAGTCAATACATAACCAATAATTGCAAAGAGTTATACTTACTCTGTAAATATTAAAACAGAGTATGTATAAGTAATATGTAGAGTGAATATTAGAATCTTAAAAATCACGAAATCAAATACAGATTGTTTTCAAGTAACAGTAATTAAGTTTATACTAACGTTTTTTGCCATATTTTCATAGAACTCCAAATTGGCCCAACCCTCTCCTGTGACTCAGTAAGATAAAAAAATAGTTACGTAGTGTGAAACCTCTATAAGGAAAACACAACGATCCCCTTATTGTAATGTTGTAAAATAATATTGATTTTTAAAGAAAGGTGCTTAATTTTCAGGTGTACATTCCGTGCCGTACAGCCATTGTTTATGCAAAATGCGAATAAATATGTTCCCTATAATAGAGTGAATGCATATATGTCTGTTGAAATGGAAATGATGCTAAAAGGATTAAAACAGATAATTCTTGTTTTCCATGGTTTTATAAATAATTGTGATATTGTTACAAGGTTAATTGGGTCTCACTCTTGCCATATTGTAAAGACTGCCATCATTGTTTCATAGAAGTAAGAATATTATGTTCTTGTAAAAAGTGCTTATTTCGGTAGCTAATAAATATATCTAACATACAGGGTTTTGATTATTCTTCTTACAAAAAAGCTGTGCTTCAAGTTTACAAAACTTCCTTATGTTGTGAATGGAAATATTATAAAAGACTTTGTTATCAAGTACAAGTTTTATTTTTTATTAAAGCATGTTATAAGTTCAACTTGTTTCATTTCACTTAAACAAATCATTTTTAGTTGTTTAAAACTTGCCATGACCACATAGGAACGTAGATATAAATAAGTTAACTAAAACATTTCGCGTTTTAAACTGATAATAACGTATTTACATGTTACATGTGTCATGTAAACTTAAGGCACTTCATTTAATTTTGAATCTGCTGGCACACCAATTAAAAGATTGTTTTTCGGTGTGCATGAGAGTGGTTTTAATCTCGCCAGTGTGACTGTGTAACCTTGCTCCTCTGCCAATCTTCCACGATCAGAATCTATTATGGCCATACATCTATCACCTCTTTCGCTTAGTGGATGTTCTTTGTGTGTTTGATCTGCTGTGTGATAGATGCACAGGTACTGATCAATAGGAATGCTATTAAACTTTTTACTTCGAGGATAACTTAATCTGTTAGTGGCATGCAAGGAGCCATAACAACATGGGCATAAAACAAACTTAGCGTTTGCCTTTAAACATTTATCTAGAACTAAATCACTGGCTATACCGCAAGCGTGAAGTGCTACTCCAACATCAAATTTACCTGTAAAAAAGTCTAAATTACACTGAAAGAAGTAAACATTTTTCAAACCCATATTATGGACCCTCTTTTTTGCTCGTAGTAGTGATTGTTCTTTATTTTCTAATAAAAGGATTGTACATTTAGGTAAAAGATAAGCTATTAAGATACCTAAATGCCCACTTCCACTGCAGAAGTCCACCACTACATCACCATCTTTAGCCATAGCAGTTACAGCCAAAGCTAAATTCTCTAGTTGCTGTGCTTTTCTGTTCACCCTATCATCAGGCAAATGCCCAGCAAAAGGGTTGGCGCCTTCAGGAATAATATCCCAATTTATTCCACCTTTCATATTGTTTACAGATATCTTTAATTCTAAATCATCACTTATACTTTTTAAAGCATTTTCAATGTCTTCAGGCTTTGTAAACAACCTCTTTTTAGGATTATGCCTTTTAGGATCTGATTTATATAAACTAACATCATCTACTTCTGGTAATTTTAAACTCTTTAGATCTCTGGTTTCGACAATTATGTTAAAAATGTCTGTTATAATTTTCATTTCTTGCATATTTATAAGATTAACATACCATTTGTATGATAATGGTAATAATTCCTTTAAATTAGTTTCCCCAAGAAGTTGTGTAAATAAGTAATAGCATGGTAACAATAGTAAATCTGCCAAAGTCAAGAAGGGACCTTCTGCAAACTGGTGACTAATAGACAATTCTTCTAGTTTTGTTGAACATAAAATTTCTAGATCTTTTGTAGTATTTGACTTCCATTTTCTATTTTTTGGCTTTCTTAAACTGTTTTCCGGTTTTATTTGAGGCTTCACATTTGCATTAGTTAGGTTCACATCTAAATTTTGCTTCTTTATGTTTCTAGCTACTTTATAAATATTATGTATCCTTACTGGTTTATCCAAATGATTTTCAAATCTTACCAAATTTACAGGGATTTCACTTATAGTTGAGAGTCCCAGTAACGATAATACCGTTTTAATAATATCAACTTCACAGAATTTCGTCCATACGGAGACTTCATTTGGTGCTTGGAGACAGCCCTTACAAAATCCTAACAAACCATTAAAGTGCTCAAAAGTACCTTGAATCGAGTGCCCGTGCTTACAAATAGAACGAGCGACCGCACATAATCCGGTTATAACAGTATCATCACAAAGTGCTACAGGAAATACACAGGAGGAAACCTGCCAAGGAACATTCTCCTGGTCTATAAATTTAACCTCTCGAACTAGTAGATTAAGGTGCGCGCGTCCTGAACTATCGTTCACTTGCGTGAAATATAACTCCGTATCTTTTGGAGAACAGTATTTGTAAATACAATAAATTATGAACGATTCAACTGAAACTTTTAAGGTAAAAGTATCTTTGTGGTCATTGTAACTATTAAAAGATTCTAGATAAATAGAATTCGACATGTTACTTTTTCCAATGTGTAAACTTAATGTGCAAAGTTTACGATTACTTTTTAATAGTTTTTAAATAAATAACCTTTCCAAGCTAAAGTAAATATATGCACATGGTTTAGACACATGACACATCTCTGATTAGAGACACAGACTCAGTTTCAGTCCACAGGCTTACAATAGAAAATATAGTCCGGCGCGTACTATCTATATTTCACCACGTGTCAAAAACTGCCTTGCATTAATTAATTGTAACCTTTCGTTTTCAATGTTTTACACCTACTTAACTATACCAACTTTTTTTTGGTACAGGTATTGTTCGATTTAGTTCACACTAAGTGTAATGGTCAGTCTGTCGCCGCGCGGGGAAAAATTGGTAGTGCGTGTCTACACTCTACTGCCTATAAGCTGCCTATTACATACATACTCTGTGGATTTACATCTTCGTATCTGTTTTTATTATAATTTCTTAAATTCTTGCATTATTGTTTGTACGAAGTGGAGAACTTATGTATTTGTGCGGGCTCGATCAATTATTATGATCGATCTATAAAATATTGTTTTTGTGACATCTTAAAAAATCTAATTCCATCCACAAAGTTTAACAGCGTTTAATTTGCGGCGCGAGTGATAAAAATATTTCTCTGGCCGAAGTTTCGACAGAATACAAGTGTGGATATCGCTGTAAGTGGTAGTGGTGCATTTGTTTATTTTTAGAACTACGTATTTGCAATCATGTTGTTAATCCGCTGGCGCTAAAATGTCTCAAAGGGATACAGCGATTCATCTTGTGGCCGGAGGGTAAGTTTGTTTTGTTATTTAATTTACAACGTTAACGGTAAACCCCTTTTACATTCTGTAATATTATGTTGGCTTATATATGTAAATCGAGGACATAATAAATGCGTAGACATCATTTACATACCTTTATTACGTCTCGTCTTTCCCAAATAACCTGCCTACTAAGTTTCGTGTTTAGCGTTATAATATCCACCTGTTAGTTTAGTTAAAAATGATTAAGCGGAATATAAACCAGACATTTATATTCATTTTACTCTTTTTTAACTTCTAAAAAGTGATTGAGTGCGTTTTAAAGATTGATAGAGTATATGTAAAATAGCAATTGATCATAACACTAATTTATTGGTGTATGGTTTCCATGTGATTCTTGTGGTAAGTCTTATTAGGGATTTTTTGAAGTAAAAAATTTCACCACTAGGTTTTGCTTTTGGTTTATTTTGGTTTTGGTCTATAAATGTAAAAGTAATTAGAAATCCTAGTGCTTTTATTTATTTAAATAATTAAAGTTATTTTTTAATATAATCTTGTAGTTGTTGCTTTGGATACATTATTTTTCCTTTGATTACATTTTAAATGGTACATTTTTAATAGTTTGTAGTGTATCAGTTATAATATGTTAAGAAAAATTTTTTAGAAATAAGTTACGAAAATAATAAAGACTTGGAAATTCCACAAAAGTTTTTAGTGTTTTTAGTAACATTAAATCTGTAACTAAATACATATATGATGTTACACAGGGTAGCAGGAACAGCAGGAGCTGTTGTAACATGTCCTTTGGAGGTGGTGAAAACTCGGCTTCAGTCCTCTAAGGGAGTAGGAATCCCTCCACCACCTCCCTCATCTAATGCAACAAGTTCCAAAAGAGTCTGCTCAAAAATACCTAAACACCAGGTATGTTGTTATCTTACGTACTAGGGCTTAATTAAAAAAAGTAGCTTACTATACTAAAAGTAGCTAATTCTATTTGCTATTTGTATTTGTCTGTTGCCACAGTTTCAATTGTTCGGTGAATAACCAGAGGAGTAATTACAAAACCTAACCTAACGTAACTCTTTATAATATAATTCTGTGTTTTTTGCCATATGTGCATAGTGCAAAACTTTACAAGTATAATAACAATTTGGAATTTCCATGAACGTTACTCTTATCCGTGATGAAAATTAATTACTCAAGATATAGACACGGAAGTATTTACAGTAATTATTTGGGAAATTTAAGTATAACATTTATAAAACTAAATATTATATTGTATATTAAATACTTTATATTATTGTATTGAGAAAGATAAATAATATTTCCTTAAAGATAATAAAGATAAGATTACATAAAAGTACCAAATTATTGCTTTCAAACAGTATTTATAAAATAATGTTTGGAGATCGATAGGAAGAGCATTAATTGCTTAACAGGTAAAAGATTTTGTACTAAAATCTACTTTTGTTATGTATCATAGAAAATAATAGAGTTTTATGTGTTTATTTTATTACTCTGATAGTTTTCAATCGAGTTGTAATAGCGGTTCACAGGGGTTCGATTCAGCCATTTGGTGTCCACTGCTGGATATAAGCCTCCCCCATAGACTTCCAGTTTGACCGGTCGCTCGCTCAGGGGGTCAGGGGTTGCATATCACACATTTATATTTGATTGATATACCGAGAGTTGGAACAGGAAGTTTTGTCTCCTTGCTCTTGCAAACTTGTGAAATTCCATTCCACCATCTGCTTTCCCCAGTAAGGCTATAATCTCACTGATATTTACCAACTTTATGCAGTGGACAAACATCAATCTAAATTTTAGAAGTCCCACAATATAACAGCTGTTTTTCAACGAATATGATCACTTCAATTCATGCTATATTGCACGTCAATTACATCTTTGTAGGGTACTATTAAGCTGATTGTGATGTTATGTCAAGACCCATTAAGTAGTTGGAGTAACCATTATGTACGTAGTATGCTACTGTTATCCAAACATTTATTCTATAAAGCCTAAAATAATTTAGTTTAAACAATTTAACGGTTGAAAACGGTTGAAAACCTGTGACCACGGCTGCTGCAAAGCATTCGATACGTCGGGCCGTAGTAAAAAAATAATTTTCAAACAAGTTTAACTTAAATATATCGCGTTTGAAACCGTTAAAGTGTTTTATTTAATTGTGTACTGCTCGCGTAATCTACAGACAGAATTTTAGGACGGTTTAGGGCAGAAAGGAATAGGCAGACTGATTAATATAATACTTATTAAGCGATTTAAATGAAACGGCATATTATGAAATTGACGCCTATAATATCTTCGTCGTGTTTACGTGATAAAACATGAATTCCACTCAGTCTACGTTCTTACCCAAGGCTGCCTTGCTATGAAGTAGTCTTGAAACTTCAAGATAAATGGGGCAAGTTTAAGAATAACCGCATTTTAATAATCGTTCGGCCACGGTATTGGATATCTGGAGCGTTCAGCAACACCTAAATACAATGTAGAACTTTGGTAATCTAAAAATATAGTTCCTGCGTGTACATCGGCAACTAATAATATTTTATGCTATAGTAAATTTGTCCGCTGAACTCATCTCAGTGTCGTTATGGTTAATGCCCTCGATAGTAGATCACGTCTTCCCGGGTTCAATTCTTGGCTCGGGAAATATCACTAAGGCATTTAGAGTATTATATAGTTATAGTTGGTTCACAGTATGAGGCCCGGTACATCACTAGCTTAGTGGTTGTTTAGTTTAGGATCCAACCAACCAATCCTTCCAATGGGACCGGTTATGTGTCCTCTTACTTATATTGCTTAGTATATTTTGTTTCGCCTACCTTGCACATCTCGTTTTCCCGTAAACTTCCTCTTCTTTCATCTTGGGTTGCTTGGAAGAGATCGCTTGCTAGTGATAACGCCCATTGCACTCTCTATTTTTAGCATACGAGTCTCGTTTGTATGTTCCTTCTCTTCTCTTGCAATAAAGTGTTAATAAATAAATAATACTTACGTGAGACGAGACATAGCCCAGCTGTAGGAGATTAATAGGATGTAAATTCTGCGTTAAATAAATTCGATTCAATCAAACACATTATTGCATTATTCTAAAAGAATTACACCTATAAGCAACCCACAACTTGTTTACATTTTTATCTTTGCTATGCGCTTAATTCGACAGCTGATAAAACAACCGAATAAAATGAATCCTCAATGCGTTCGCCTTGAGTAGTTTTGGGCGGATTACCGCTAAAACTTATCTCCTCTCGGTTCTAGTGGCCCTTAGATAATCAATTAATAGCGAATAACCTTGTGCAATGTCAACGATCATAAAAGTAACGGAGTGCCAAGGTCGGGCCACAAATAACTCCATATAGTTACGTTTTTCTTTGCTTTAGTCAATTAGATGCTTCGTAATCAATTAGCGCTTGTGTTTACTTACTGCCGAACACGTTAGACATGGCTGTGGTGTTGTATTCATTGTCTATAATTTCATAATATTACATACCTACCCTTTTTTTTAAATCAGGGTGTGAATGCCCACGCCAGGCAATAGTGTGGGGGGGATAGTGTAAGCGTGGGGAGTGTGGTAAATACAACCTCCTCGGAGACAATAGCCGACCAGAACCACTAAAAGCCCTGGAAATACATAAACCCTACTTACGGTTTAAAACGCGATAAAATCGCCTTAACTTTCTTGAAAATAGGTTTTACAAATGTAGGTCGCGTTTTAAACTATTTTTATTCTCAAGAAGGTCGCCTCTAAGAATATTTAGCTAATCGCTAGCGAGTAGGAAATTTACAAAATACATATTTTGATCTCCCCAAGATGAATGCGAAGGAGAATGTGTGTAATATTAAAAGTGTTTTTTGTTGAACAGTTTATTGTTCAAGATGTGGCTAGCTGGTGCCCGCCATTTAATTATTAAATATTCAAATACTTATTATTCTTAATAGGTGCTTGCCATGCCATCAAAAGTCATTTGTTTTAATTACACTCTTACCAAAATTAAACATTTGTGGTGAAGATAGCATTAAACAATTACAATAGAGTTTAAATTTAGATTCTTCCTTAAAAAGGCTAAGCTAAGCTAAGCTTTCAAATGACCTGTTTTTCTAAACAGTATGTATACACATAACAGAAAATATAAAAACGTTAGTGATAACGAGCACGGTATTATCATAAAATCGGCATTGAATTGGTACTAGAGTTAAACAGTGTTGCGTGCGTTTGTTTGTACTAAGGGACATTATTCACTTAATTTGTTTGTTTGCACAGTCGATCAGTGAAGGCGACTGACGACACGATTTTTAATTTTAGTGTAAATTGTATGAAGCAGATATTTTGACGTATTTCTATGGTCTCTTATATTCATTAGTTTCGCTGGCAATAAAATGTAATAAGTTTATATTTCATATTATGTTTTGTTTATTAACAACTAAAACAATATTTTTAAATAGATATATATTTAAATGCACGCGAGGCGTACAAATAAAATTAATATAAATACAAAAGACTGAAATATTGTCGACTTGGGCGGAACTTGGTATCCTCAGCGTTGCGTGCTGATTCTCTGATCAATTAGTGAAAAAGTTTTGGGGTGTAGAAGCCAGTTCAAGTACAAAAAACAAAATACGACATGGGCGGGCCATGTCGTATTTTGTTTTTCAATGTAAATAGATTCTTATTAAAGATTTCATATGAAATTAATATGCATAGAACAAAATAGTTTTACAAAAAATAATTGGCTAGACCTGCTTTGTTGAAATGTGTCAAGGTTGCTCGTTGAATAGCCTACAAAACAATGCATACTACTAATGCAGTACATATGATCGACACAGAGTAAACGTTAAAAGTAGATTTTGTTGTCATTATTAGCCTAATCTACTGTAACTAAGTGTTATTCAATTTTAATATTTTTAAAATCGAATTATAATATAAATGTGTACCTATTCTTAGTAAGGCCTACATACAATATTAGTCAAATTTATTCACATTAGTTTGTATCCGTTAAATCGGTTGTATATTTGTATCAACGAACTAGCTAACTGCGAAAGACGTTATCTTCGTTTCGAATTCAATCTTAAATATTGCACGCACGTTATGCATGGTTCCGATCCCGTTTGAGCCTAATGAAACTTTCCACTGTTTTGTTTGTTACTAAAAATAACGTACGATAACTTGATAAGTGGAATATTTGTTTAACTTTTGACGGGCTTGCCGGTCCAATAGTGTGGCTAATAAACGGGTCGTGGGTTCTCCGGGCCCAAATGTTTCACAAAATAATTAATAATTATTCTGAATCATGTCGACTTCCTCTGGAATTCGATGGATATTAAGTACCTCACATTTTTACTTGGATAGTTTAGAAAGTCGAAGGTCTAAACTAAGACTGGAATTTTACTCGGTCAGCATTGTCTATAGTTTACGCGAGTAACACGCATTTAAATAAACCACTTTTAATGTTTTGCAACGCTGTTTATATTCGTTAACGTAAATATTAGATTAAGTCCCTCGGGCCCATCGTGCAAATCATCAGAAACGCCGAGAAAAAGACTAATTATTTAATTTCGCGTTTAAAACTGTTGTGCTTTATTTATTGCACATTATATTAGAAAAAAATGCAGTCTTTAACGGCGTGTAGCATACGCAGCCCTAGGCCAGATGTGTTGATTTAAAAAAGTGACGCCCTTGCATAATATATTTTTAGTACTGCATTGTAGTGTATTGTTGTTAGATCTATTGTTCAATATGACATACAATAATATGTGTATTCCCCTGGGAGGACTGATTTAAACAGCATTTAAATAGTCTTTAATAAAAAATGGACTGAAAAAAAGTTTGTTTGTTGTCAACTTTTTATTATAAGCTAATAAAAAGGAATAAGGGTAATTGTATACGTAATTTTTTTGCTAGAAAAGGAACCCTTTGTATGTATGTATGTATGATTCAAACCCTAATTCTACGGAATTATATCGCCGTTTAATTTTTCATTTATTAATTTCATTATAATTTTTTTAATATCTATAATATGTGGCTTGTTTTAATTTCGCATGCGATGTGCTGCACGCGGGAAAGCTTCAGAATACGGAATCAATTAAGCTCTTTTCAGTCTGCTGTAATTTAAAAGAGCATATTCAGTTCTTTCATATCTATAATAATGTATGTATTTATATTATACATTACAGCGTTATCTGATATTAGCTTTACATTTCACACATCATACAATTTATAATAATGTATGATGGTATTGTTTTTGATATTAAGATTTGACAGTATAGAATCCCTACAAGGTGCGGATTCATTTCTCTGTCCGTCAATCGGTGGTGAACCTTCCATGCCTTGTCTAAAGCAAGTAATGTTTCCTCTGGATTCGAACCCACGGCCAGGATGTCTTGTCTAAATAGCGACCGCGGTGGCCTTGATGAATCACTCAAATATTGCCGTGTGCAGACATTCTGAAATATTTTGTAGCTTTCGTCCAATTGATTGGCCACGAAATGGGCGATAAAAGATTATTAATCGGCCGTGTAATGCAGGAGGCCAAATGGGGCTACCGCCGCACCATGGGCGCTATGTTCGCGTACAGCAAGCAAGCAGATCGCATGCTGATGTCGTACAATTACCAGGTGCAGCAGTGCGCGCGCGCAGGCCACGCCAGGACGGCGCAGAGGATGAGCCTTATTCAGTGCATCAGGTGAGAATTGAGCTTTTTTCTTCAGTGAGTTACGTACCATCTTTACCTACGACTAAGATGATGATGAGATCCTAGCGTTAAGATTTAATAGAGTAAAAGGTAGAGTTAATAAAAATGTATTACCTGTCAATTTGGCAATAAGCAAATAGAACAGCAGCTGCCTCGTTATCTAGTGGTAACTGTACTAGAAACCGGATCACACAATCGCAGGTTCGATTCCTGGGGGGGCAGAATGTTATTTTGGATTTTTTTATATATAAAATGTCTTATATCAGCCCGTACTTTGAAAGTAGGTATCGTCACATGCACGGTCATTTACACTAATTTTGTTATAATAGTCCTTGAAAGTTCGCCAATGTACTAGAGCAGTGTGGTGACCCGAGCGAGGGGAGACCTGCGCCCAGCAAATATTTGATATCACATAAATAGAACATTTCAAAACAATGTTGCAAAATTGCTGATAGAAATGACGTACTACTTGCTCACAAATAGATCAAATACAACCATTATGTATTTCTTTATTTATTTTTGTAACTTTATCTTTATTACACAACGCACACACAATTATGGATCCCGTACATTGACTGAGTATACATATTTCATATCGTACGCTCTTTTCCTAAAGTTTTTATTTACTACATATTTATAAATGTTAAGCAAAATAGGCCAAAAATGAGTTTTTGAGGGAAATAATTTAATATTTTTTTTTAGTTAGCGTTATTTGTTGCTTTAACGACAAGAATAAAAATACAATTTGTAAAAATTAATCTATAGCTACGGGAAAATCTTGGTGACAGAAAGACAGTGATGTGTCAGTACCCTTTTGATACAGAACTAAAACAAAAAATAAAATAAAAATATAGCCTTATGTTTACTAAGCTTTAAACTTTATAACTTTCATAAATTAATAAATGTACGAACTCGATCAAAACAGACCATGATCTGCTATTTATAGTCGCCTAGTCACGTTTTACAGCGCACTAATCTTTCTCGTAAGATAATGTGTCCTTCATTGGCTTACAATTGTTGTTTTCGTTTAATGATTTATGTATATGTGTTTGTATAATATTTATTTTCTTGAGACAATTTATTTTCAAAGCACTCGTAAGAATAACCGACGCAGAAACGCTGATTTGACCTATAACTAAGAGCTAAAGTATATAAGTAAAAGAGACACACAAATGTGGCAGAATATATCTCTAAAAGCATGTAAATGTGCTCTTAGAGTAATGATAAAAATATGTCTAAAACGAAATTGGAACACAATTACAATGTATGTACATAGATTTGGATTATAGTTAGGAAACTTAAATATAGACCGACCCGTTTCCCCCCCCGGGGGGGTAAACCCCCCCCCCCTTTTTTTCCTTTTTTTTAAATTTTTTTTTTTTTATTTGGTTTTTTAAAAAAAAATATACCCCCCAAAAAAAAAAGGGTTTTTTTTTTTTTTTTTTTTTTTTTTTTTTTTTTTTTTTTTTTTTTTTTTTTTTTCCCCCCCCCCGGGTCCCCCCCCCACACTCGACAGAAGTGTCGAGTGTACTGAAAGGGACTAAACGGAACTATTTCGAAAAGGTTTTAAATACAAATAACAGTTTAATTCATTACGGCTTGCGCGTCGTATTATAAAAATATATATATTCCGCTTTTAAAACGGTTTCAAGTGACTGGAACTTGAAATTAGGTAGACGACTTTAGGAGTACAAAACTGCCTGTTACAAACACGCCCTTATGTGAATTATTTAGATATTTACGATTATAAATAAACATTATGAATAATTAATTTGAATAATATAATTTGTTGTTTTCAAGTGCGCGTCTTAATAAAGTGTAAGCTAAAATTCTGGAGCCATGCCATCGCATGCTTGAGCTCTATTATCGTGTTGTGAAGCGAGAACGAATATTGATTTTGCATCTCTAATATAACATCCCAACTCAGCTGTAGTTTTCGATGTTCTACAAGCATAATTTTTGTATATAGAAATATGTTTTTGGTGATAGATTAGAGCAATTAATTTATTTTCACTAAAATATCAAGAAAAGTTCACTCAACCAAGATGACAGCTGATGATCGATCGTCTATTTTATCGCTAGTGTATACTTAATCTCTGAAAACTGAGGCGGCAACAATATTCCACCCTTCACCACCCGTCTCAAAGAACAGCCGCAAAAACCCAATCGATAAGAGTATTGTATCGGTGTTATTTTGTATATTGTTTAGATGTAAGCGAACAGGATTTAGCCGGCTTTGCTTGTTATCAAACACGCGCTAATTGATAAGAAATGACTTGCTCCTACATAGTATCACGCGAGACGAGCGTGAGACAGATTCGCAATAAGGTATGTCTCCACTGAAGGCGGCTTCGGGTAGTAACTTATTGCCATGCAAATGGACTGAGGCACAACGAAGCGCACAGCTGTTATATGACGATCAATTCATGTCGGTAATTTACGCGATTTTTAATAACAAACTTTTAACAGCTTCTAACGCGGCCATACTACAGTAAATTTAATTTTTAGTTTAGTTTTGTAATTTTTAACTTAGCTTCTGAAAACGCTGACTGCGCTGCTGCCTCGCTTTTCAGACGAGTTGTTCTCATAGACCGCACATTTGCCTCGCGAGGCAACTCACTCAGTGGAGACTCGCCTATTTACCTCAATGTACGTCAAGCATTTAGATATTAGCACATCGTGACAATATTGGCTTATCAGTTTGTTTTCGCATCGCAATATCATCGGGCAGAAATTTCGTTTCCATTACGACACAATCGTTCAATAAAGGGGCATTGATTGTTTGATATCTGGATGAAAATATTACTGAAAGACATATAAAATACCACAGAAATCCTCGAGAACGTTCCTGAAAATATCATATAGGGCTAACATCAAACGTTTCAAAACGAATGTCTTCATATAACTTGGGAAACACACAGTTTAATCATGATATCGATCTTGTGGAGCAATTGAATACCTTGTTAGTTTCCACGCAATAGACACGGGCTTCGTGTCGTCTAGGTTGTTGTTCTGATTTGCTTGTAATTTGAAACACTTTAACTCTATTGCGGAGTGCTTATTTCTTGTAACAAATATAATGCGGCATAGATTAAGCTAACAATGTCATGTAAAAACAGTTTGCCTTTTACGAGTAAGAACGTCGTACTTACATTAAGTACGTACATACAATATATGCATGTGAAATCAGTTCAGACTTCTGTGCCCTGCCCGACTGAAAAAAATTATTGCTACCCCATGATTCGAACTTAACGCAATACTAGGCAAATACGTTTAAACATTGAGCTACGGAGCCGGGTAAATTATGCATACAATGTATATATTTCTTAAACCAAAGATATTCTTACAATCATGAATCGTGTTTCCATAAAAGGCAACAAGGATATCGTAAGAATTCAACACCAAGTGGCCGCTGTGCTCTCGCCAAATAATACTGGCAAGAGGTCACGGCGATGCGACCCAATGTCGGGTTATAAATATGTTTTACTGTTTACATACGGTTATCTACGAGATAGCTATTTACGTCATCCGAGTTATTAACGAATCGATATCGCGTATATTTGGACACCTAGCTCAGACGTGGAGTTTTATTGCAATTATTATTTTGTTTATATACGTATTTTATTAAATGGCTTGTAGGAATATGTGAAAGGAAAAAAATCAGTCCGGGTCACGAACCACCGTCTACAGATGAAGAAGCAGTAAAGCTTAATCGTGTGTCCGTTTCAGTCTGTGGATTTCGCAATATCCAAAGCCAAGATTGGTCGACAGTGTATTGTTTAGATGTTATAAGCTGTGGTATATCACCTATCATGTACCCCATGCCTATCTCTCCTCCTCTGTCATGAAAAAACATTCAGCCTGAAAAAAAAGCTTGCCTCCAGAAGTATATTATTAAACTGACGTGGTTTTGAAAACTTTCCCTTGAATTCTACGGTTCCTTCACGCTAATATTCAAATATTTACCCAGACATTCTTATCGATCACCTTTAGTCTAATAACAAGGATGCAATTTATATTTTTTATCGTATCTTCATCGATAAAGCTCGACTCTAGTCGGTTGAAACATCCCTATCGGAATAATTCGGTACAAAGGTACCTTCTACATTCGTTACTGCTTTCGATTCTTAATCTATACGGCCACTCAGGCGTATAGAAGAGTTTTCATTATGACTAATAACTGGTGGTGAATTCGCTTTCCAGTAGCTTCACCCCAGCGTCTAGTTTTTTTTATGATAGAAAAGTACAGGGAAATCCCCTAGCAATAAAACATCTAAACAAGACGTTCTGTTTACTATCTGTATCGCTCTGAACTATCGCTTTTTCATGTCAAAAACACGTACGACAGAGCATCTTCATTGAATGTTATTCTTTTAAAAAACTTACATATCTCATATTCTCAAGACCTACTTATTTTTCTAGATTAACAGATAACTAATCAAATCCAGGTAAAAATATCGCGACTGTTCATTTGTATCAAGACCGATGACAAAACAATGTATTATGTTTCGAGATCTAGGCTATCTCCCACATAGTTGACATTACTCTTCCTTTATCTTATCACCACTGAATAGTAACAGTTGAGTCGCTCAGTTCCTAGTACGATAGAGAATTGAGATAGCACTATCAATGTAATAATTTAAATTCGTGCATAAATTGTAGTTTGATGTTTACCACGTCTAATTCTTCTGGAATTATCAGTCGCGTCTTCTAATACTAAAGTTAATCATGACTTAAAACGCGAAGTATGTTAGTTAAACACGAGTTGTTCAAATGATTTATCAAGCAAGATTAAATATGATTAAATCATTTATGAAAAATTGAGTTTAAAATTTTTTACTAACTCACCTTATAGAAAAGTGGATTTCCGAATCTCCAAAGTCAAAAAAGGCCGACAGCGCATCTTGTTGAACTATTAAATGGCTGAGTTACTTCGCTTTCCAAACAGAAATCATTGTTTCGGTTTATTGAAATGAAATGATGTATTATAATAAATAATTTATCGAATCGTTAGTGACTCATTCATTCATAAATTAATTTTGTGTAATTAAAAAGTTACGTTAACCCTTTAATTTATATCCGTCACGCGAGACTTGCGAAAAAAAACTAGTGGCATTAATATTATGTATTACAAACGTAACGTTTTTCTAGATTTATGACGCCGATTAGTAAAAACTACATTTATTTCTTATTATGATTTCCAGGTATATCGTGAAGAATGAAGGGGCGAGGGCGCTTTTCAAAGGCTTAGGCCCGAACATAGTGGGCGTCGCTCCGTCCAGAGCCATCTATTTCTGCACATACTCGCAGGCGAAGGCCATTCTCAACCAGCACATATCTCCAGACACTCCAATCGTGCATCTGTCGGCGGCCAGTGCAGCCGGTGAGTGCATGTTCTCTAGACAGGCGTGAAGTTTTGGCCATAAGTTCTCATCAATAACGACTTTATGATAGAGTAGCATAGAGCTAGCTCGATGGTAGGTGGTTACCCCAGCCGTATAAACAAAATGGATTTGGAAATCCGGAAATCCACATAATGAAACTGTGGTCGGCCGATCGTGACCCAGGTTTGTTACTGCTACCATTTATTTAATTTAAAATTTCCAAATGAAGTCTAACCTGTTTTAGAAAAATTTTGAATTGATTAGAAAATTATTGGACCCGGTGGGTATTGATTCCACGACCCGTAGCTTATTAGCCATACATCGCTACTATTACACCAAGGAGTCCAAGTCGACGCCACACTTTAAATAAATATACAAGTATATATATTCTCACATTTGAGTTTACATACAGTTAGGCCAAATTAGATTAAATATTGGAACTATGCACTCGCAATAAATTTTAATAAAACTCTTCACACAAACGGTTTAAATCGCGACCCAACAAAATAATCAAAAATCTAGTGCTAATTATGTAGAGCAATACTAAAAATTTGTAAGGCAGGCAATTCTTTTTATATTATCATATACTTATTTATCTACTGAAGAAGCATAGACTAAACATCCCCCACACACGCTTGAGCTGTTTATAGTACACACACCAGCTATTGTCTGTCAATGTCCGTTTACACTATTGCAAGTGTTATTCATGCATAATTTCTCTTAGTCCGACATTTTGTATAATGTGATGTCGTATGCATTTCTAAAGTGCAAATAACATCCGTGTTGATAATAACACTGATATCTAAAGACGTTAGCGTGAAAACTTGTAGATTCTTTTGAAACTAGAAAACAAATCGACATATAATTAAACGATTGTTTTATCTCAACATAATTAACGAATTAAGTAGGTACTTGGAAGGAATATTGTAAAATTGCTTTTTATCTTATTCTTAATTGTATTAAAAACATTACTTTTTGGCAACTCATATTGTCTATCTCAAGGTTTACTTTCGACTGAACTGCTTTTGAAGATAACAGATAATATTTACGTTACTTTACTGCAAACCATGTAAATTTTGGGTCGTAATCAAGTTATCTAATTAATTTATCATTTGACAACAATTTTTCAAACTTATGCGTGTTTAGGTATATCGCTTAGTTACAACGTAAAACACGTAACTTGTAATTTTCTATGGCGTCATTTTGTTTTCATACTTTTCAGGCGTCATGAGTCATGAGTCACAATCTACCAGTTTGATTGATTTTTAGATGGGCTCGTGCAATGTAAGAGTAATAAATAATCAATGGGTCGTACGTTGGAATCTCACCTCCAACATGTTGTACAAAGTAAATTTATAATATCTCTCAGGTAAGCCAGACTTCGCCTGAAAAATCTGGATATTAAATAAGTTGTAGGAATGTTGAAAATTTAAATTCCGTCTGAACCCCGTTGCATAGATAAAGAGACTGTGACTTACAATGGCGTTCTATAGAATACATAGGTCGACAGAAGATCTTGCTTAAATGTTTTATGGCTGGGGTACTTCAGCTCCGTTCACCTTCCATTAAGTAAACCGCAAATTAATTTCCTTTCTTCCTTCCTTTGTAGAATAAATATTTAAATTTAAAGTGTACGTGCCTCTTTTCCAGGATTTGTCTCTTGCACTTTGACAAACCCGATATGGTTCGTGAAAACGCGTCTTCAACTGGACGGACAAAACATCACGGCGCTGGAGTGCATCAAGAGGATATACGCGAAGCACGTATGTATTTTACGATAATTTTCCGTTTGTGACGCACGGAAAATCTGTGGCTATTTTTGTTTGTTGCCAATTGAAAGTCGAAAACCACAATCTCACAATGATTTTGTGAAATGCTAAGTCGCCTATAGGTGGTTACAATGATCTGCAAGCAAATAGATCTAGTGTGCCATGCTCAATGGGCTATTTGACAATGCGTCAATTACTGTTATTTGTATTATGTATACGTTAAAAAATACTAAAACAGTCATATTTAAAAAATAATAATTGATTAAATTAAAAATCTGCAAATAAGAATTAGTTTTTTTAAACATTTGTCACCTGACATAAAACGCTCCTGATTGGTCGGGTCGACGACGACGTCACTTGCTTATAAACAGTGCTATAAATCACCGTGCTTCCTAGTGTTAAAACAGTTCTATTCTCTCCATTAACAAAACTAATTACTATAATCACAGTTAAAATGTAAATGCATGTAGATTGTAGATCATGTGACCGACATAAACCAATGGCCAATTTAATGTCGTGACGTCACTAGCCGTTTTGCAGCGATGTTTCTAAATAAGTGATTAAGCGCACAATTTGAACGTTGGATTTTTATATATATAATATAAAGTTCGTTTTAAAAATTAGTGAAATAGCCCTTTCTTATTACTTTCTATTGGAGACACTGATAGAATTCCAGATTATCTGCTAACCATTTCACCCATATGAGGACATTGGGCTATCCAACTTTCACCGTGTCCCTTAAGCCTAAACTAATTGAACTCATAAATTAACGAAGTAACATTGCAATTTAGTGACGAGTCACTTTTACAAGCGGCAACAAGTACTTCAAGGTTCTTTATTGTGTGTAAAATGATAGAAACAAAGACGTTACGAATAAGCAAGAAAGTGGAAATGAGCTACATTATAGTGTAACTTATTACAATAAATTATCTCATAAAACTCTGTCATTGATATGAATTGAAATTAGCAAGTAGCAAATTTAATGAGTCACAAAGTAACGTGTTATATATATTTAAATCAATGAGAGTTTTTTACTTATACGAGTGTAAAAAACGCGTATTTACACTTCAAGAAACCTCATTTCTTGTTAACCTATTTCCCTCTTATTTGCATTAATATGTGTAAATTTATATAAAACATCTTTAACGATACAAAACGCTTAACTTATTTACGAAATTGTTTTAACTATAGCCAACATTTTAAACCGTTAAAAGCATTTCATTTATATGTGTGTGTGAGAAAGCCCGTTTCCCCCTCGTGTGGCATGGGGCGAACAAATTTCTGTGTCCGTTTCACTGATCCGTTCTTCTGTGCCCTGCCCGACCGAAACAATTTTGTTTCCCAGGACCTCTTGCGCTTAACACAATGCTAGGCAATACGTTTAACCATTTGGCTACAGCGGCGGTGGCATTTATATGTGTACTACTCTATATATTGATCGAAATATAAATTAATTGTGAAAAAACATTTGAAGTCTAATTAAACCACCATTGTTTCTATTGTTTTTTACATATGCTCTAGTTTTATTTGATATCGATGCATTAGGACTCAACTACACGTGTCAATTGCAGGGTATAAAGGGCTTCTACAAGGGCATAACAGCTTCGTACATGGGCATTAGCGAGACGGTGGTCCACTTCGTGCTGTACGAGGGCGTGAAGGCGCGCCTCATGGCGGCCCGCAGCACGGACGGCGTGGTCAGCGATACTCGCTCCCCGCGGGACTTTCTCGAGTTCATGGCTGCCGGGGCCTTCTCCAAGACGATCGCGTCTTGCATCGCTTATCCGCATGGTGAGTATCTTGTATCGAATGCCAATAACTGCGTATGAGAATACCTCATACTAAATTCGTGATAAAAATATTGCTATCGGGTTGAAAAGCGTTATTTAAGTTATATTGTAACTATGACCTCAGTTTGCATCTTAAAACACATTAATACATGTAAAACCCACATATAATTACTCCATATAACGATAACAAATTCTTAAGATTTTTTTATAAAAAGTTTACATATAATTTTCGAATTAAGAAAAGCAAGGATACATATTTATTGATAACTAACTATATATATACACACACAAAAAAATCGTGATTTGAAATGTGTAAATGTTGAAATTATCTCATTGTACAACAAATAAAAACATATTTCTAGGACATTTGGTTTATCATTCGCAATCTGAGTTGACATACTTTTGTGATAACGTGTTACGTAAAGGCTAGCTGTGTTATTAGATACAGTAGATTATTATGCTAAGAAGGCCGTCAAAATAGCTGTGTATACGTCTTATTTACGTCTATACTAAATCGTGCATTCAGATATACATTCATAATTTTAAAATAACTGTAATTTCAAAGATTTTGGAATGTATAGCAACATGTATTATGCAATCGATTTTTTGTATTTTTAAGAACACTTCATGGTAACTTAAAAAATGCAACGTCATAATTACATTGTTTTAATATAAAATATTTTAGACTTCATATAAAATGTATCTAAGTTTATATAAACAATGTTTCACGCTTGCATCTTTTGTATTCATTTCTCTAACCGATGATCAATTGCTCGTTGCAGAAGTGGCAAGAACGCGTCTCCGTGAAGAAGGCGACAAGTACCGCAAGTTCTGGCAAACGCTGCACACAGTTTGGATGGAGGAGGGATATCGCGGAGTCTATAGGTACGTCATTTGAACAAAACTTTGTCTCATTTTAATGGACTTTTGAGAGTAAAAGATTGCTTATGAACTTCATATGTTCCTTTTCACAGGGGCCTCGGCACCCAGCTAGTCCGGCAAATACCAAACACAGCAATCATGATGTCGACCTATGAAGCAGTGGTGTACCTCCTCACCACGCACTTCAATAGTTCCTTCTATGAGAACACTTAGCTTTGAACCTAAATATCCAGAGCTGATCACAAGTTAGATGACTCGACGTGGTCAAGGTCACAGAAAGTTAGGCGCCATTTAGGTTGTAGAGGGGTTCGAAATACTCAATTCTCCGAATTGAAACGTTTTTATACCCGAAGATTCCTGTTTAAACCTTAGTTTAGGGTCCCCGGTCTGCAGTATATTATGCAGTCTCCGGAGCGATGGTTCTTACATAATATTAATATTGTTTATATACTCTTGTGGAGGATAACCGATTTATATTGTTTGCGTTTTTATCATTGTTTCCCGTGGTAGCCGAATGAGCTGCCTCGCAATTATCGCCGTATTTACAAACCCAGTAACTTAAATTGTTCGCTACAGATCAGTCACGAGAAAAAACCGGTAAATAACGATATAATTACGGCAAGTAGTCATTAGGTATCTAGTCTAGAGAGGCAAACGAAATTCTCGATGGAGTTAATATGAAGATTTGAAAGACAAGGATGAACACTACATTGGAATGTGGACTACAATGGACAGAAGATGAGGAGGGGTTACAAGTAAAAGTTAGTTCATGTATATGTATAGCCCTTTATTTATTGTATGACCAAAAAATCTTGGAAGAAACTACAAAGCAGCTAGCTTAACTGAAATGTATTATTGGCTTCTTTAAAGACACTGATAGCAATCTATGTTCAATCTGTATAAACTGCTAACCGTTTCTCCCCCTGTTGCCCCTCTGCAGAGGTGTTTACATAATTGGGTTTAAAACGAGTATACCTTTTAAAATTTTTGTCCTTGTCTTCCAGCACATATAAAACATCCCACGGTGTATCTTTTTCAGCTGTTACTTTTGATTAAAGATAGAAGCGAGTTGCAACTATGCAAACTAGGTATGTTTTAAGAGGTAGAATGGATATAGCCACAGTAAGTCACATTATTTTGTCTCGATGTTATTTTTAAGTATGAATACTAAGGGATTTTTTAAGTTTTATTTGTAAATCATTTCAATTTTTTTATGGGTTAATATTATAATAATTTAACTTTATTAGCCATAGTACAAAAAATCTAAATTATGCACAAGATGTATTGTTGTGCTTCTAACGATTGTTGAAAATCCCTTAGTTAAAATAAAATAGTTGTGAGCTGTGATATATCGCTTATTTAGTTATTTCTGAATATTGGAAGATTTCTAAGGGAAAATCTTCCTTGTTATTTTGAGCTTAAGATTCTTAGAATATATCATACTGTTCCAATCGCAGATCTAAAGCATAGTTTATTTAAAATTTTGTAGATGTTGATTTTTGTATGTTAAGATAGGCAGATTTCTGGTTGTTAAAATATATTGTAAAGATATAATTGGACGTATGTCAGACTGAGTATAAGATACAACAAAATTTGTTTAACAAATAAACAATTAAAAATAGTTTTGTTTCATTTATTATCCTGATACTTGGCAAAATTCATTAAATGTAATAAATACAACATGCATTACAATTATGTAGCTTTAAAATTATTAATTAACATTGAATGTTCATAAAATAATTTATATCAACAAAATTATTACAAAACTCATGATACTATTGGTTTTAACAAAGTCCTTAATGAAACATTGGACATTATGACCCACATGTGTGTAGATATTGCATTGGGAGTGTCACTGGGATACTTAAGAAATGTAGAAAATGGGAAAAGATCTCCTTTTAAAGCCACTATAGGCTCGCGTCTGTAAAATATAACTGATACAATAATAGTAATTGCAATTACCGCTTGAAAGACCACATGTATCGTGCCTTTAGCTGCTGAGGTCTTGTTCAATCGAGACTGTGTTTTTTCCTTTAGAACAACTTCCAGTTTATTTATTTTCCTTTGAAGTTTTGAATATGCAGCAAACTCATCTTTCATGGATATCTGTCTCTGTTCAGCTTTAATCGTTAGGATTTCATCCCATAACTTGCGTTCTTCATACGAAGAGCGTGAAAAACATGCTGCAATCTGTGAAAAGTGTATTTAATTTACTCAACAATACAATATTTTAATCTAACTAATATACAAAAAAGTGTCAACTAAGTATAAATCTATTTTCCTACCGGTTTCACCAAAACAGGCACTAAAGCACTAAGTGTGCATAATATTAAAAAATAAACCAAGAGGAAACCATTCAACACTTCTAACATGTTACTTGTATTTTCAAGTTTGCTTTTTGTCTATATAATATATTATATTTAAAACATATAGTGTTATTTTATGTTTAATAATTTCATGTCATTCGATTCTGACACATAACTGCGATATATCACATTTTGACGTTTGACACCCTTCACTTTATTAGAAGATTCAACGATACTCGTTCTTAATTAAGAATATACTTTATTTATATTTACCTAACAACCTCAATATTTAGCAATAAAATACATTAATAATTTCGATTTCAACTGCATAATATCAATGTAATATTTTTTGTACTTAATTTCGGTACGGGCTAAAGAAGTAAACAAAATATTGATTGCCTGCGAGGCCATTGAAAACTGACACTGTTCATAGAGAATATAATGGGACAATTACGTCTGTGGGAACAATCAGGTGTGCTAATAGATTATAGGCTGTGGTTTGCAAATTATTACTTTTTATTTACTCGATACTGCAATTTGTTGCATAATAGAGAATATTAATTAATTGAGACATCAATTTATTGTTTTTAGTTATCTAGTAAATACTCTTCGGCCGTGCTACAAAATAATGTATGCCACTCGCAAAATGTGTGCTTTAATGTAAGTAGTTATGAAATAATATAAATAGTTGTAATTGTATATGTTCTCTAGCCGGCTTTGTAACTTACACTGTAATTACTACTCGGACCGAATACAATACATTTTTTGTTGTTCCTTGTATTACAGGCGGTCGGCTGGAGGCCGTCACAAGCACACTCTGCCTGATCTTCCTTATGAGTACAGTGCTCTTGAACCAGTAATTAGTCGTGAAATTATGAGCCTGCACCATAGCAAACATCATGCCACATATGTCAATAATTTAAATGCAGCAGAAGAAAAGTTAGCTCAGGCCCAGGCTAAAGGTGAGATTTCTAAATAGTTACTATATCTTGATAATATATAATGCTTGTTGTAAATCCAATTTCCTTATACAATATGTAAATAAACCAAAATGTAAATAATGTAGTGCTGGTATAAATGAGAAATTCTTATTCACACTTCTTGGCTACAAGTTTAAAAAATACTACAAGTTTAAAAAGAGATATTACTGGATACAAGAAGAAATTATCATAAGAAAAGCCTAAACTAAGATTTGTCTTGTGTTTGACAGCAGCAGATACGAACACACTTCTCTCTTTATTGAGTGCTATAAAATTTAATGGTGGAGGACATGTAAACCATTCTATACTATGGTGTAACTTAAGCCCTTGCCGCACTCAACCTTCACCTTGCTTTGTTCAAGCCATTGAAAAGTAATTTTTACTGGAACTTTTAAATGTAGTCATCATTTATCAGTATTTTAGATTACTATAATTTATAAATACTTGTTAGTGATTAGACTTGTATTATTGTATATCAAATGTAGTTATGATAAGTATTAAACATACATTCATTAACGATTTTATGGTTGGTTTGTGTAAATCTTTGTCTGCAGGGGACATTCAAACAGTCATCAACCTTGCACCGGGTCTAAAATTTAATGGAGGTGGTCACATCAACCACACAATCTTCTGGCAGAACTTGTCACCGAAAGGTGGCAAACCATCTGATGTTTTGGTCCAGGCTATTGAGAAGTATGGATTTATGTGGCATGATAAATCTGCTTTAAATGCATTGCTTTTATGATTGTTTGGATGCAAAAATTAAAATAGAAAATGTTACATGTTGTTACAATGTTTGATTAATACATTTTAATGGAAAATACTATTTATTCATGTTATAATCATTATATTATGTACATTTCATGTTGTATTGTAAAACAAGCTCAGGTTAATTAAATATTTTACTTATATAATTCTCATATTATTTCAGGGACTTTGGTTCACTAGAAAACATGAAGAACCAGCTAGCAGCAGCGTCTGTTGGTGTACAGGGCTCTGGTTGGGGATGGCTAGCATACAATAAAATGATGAAGAAGTTACAAATCCAAACATGCCAGAACCAAGATCCATTAGAAGCTACCACAGGTATGACCTTACTTAATATCCTAGTGTCACGATCTTTACTTGATAGTGAATTAAAAAAAAGCTTCTATTAATGCATAATTTGAGTGCTTACAAATATTATATCAACAGGTTTGGTGCCCCTCTTTGGAATTGACGTATGGGAGCATGCCTACTACCTTCAATACAAGAATGTGCGTGCGGATTATGTTAAAGCAATATTTGACGTAGCCAACTGGCAAGATATCTCAGCTCGATACGAGAAAGCAGTCAAGTGAAGATCTGTCTAGGCAGTATATTTAAAGCCTTTTAGATGCAAACTATGGTCACTTAGTGATTCCAATTGCATTAAATAATAGTCTGCCATTGTGATGCCGTTATAATTTAAAAACCTTTACATTATTTGTTCTTTCCTAAATAAAATTTAGAAAAACAAAAGAGTATCTATTGCTTTTTTACTCTGTAAGGTAGGTTATAGGATCAATAGTATTGTCGGAGCGTGCGCCACATAGACAACCTGACAATATTGTATTAAAAATGGTATTCACGTAGTTGAAATTCTTTATTCCGCAATCATAGGTATAAAGCTTGGTTTTATTATAGCCTCAAAAAACAAGTGTTAAAACAACAAATATATGTTGAAATTACAACTTAAATGTGATATGCGATTAAAATATTAATATTCAACCAAAGAGAACCTTCCTGCTTTAGTCTGTGGCAAGCTTAAACTACAGCAACAATATCCTCTGTGTTCAACTGTCAAAGTCAGCGTTTTGTTGTTCAGTATACTGTCAATTATCAAAGTGAACAATCAGTTTTCATCTTTATCGCTACGTAATAAATAATCCAGCGAAAAATAATAAATATTAAATTAAATTATTTGTTTAGGATAATACCGTCACAGAAAACATTTTCCTGAGAGTTTCCTGCCATCGTTAGAAATCTGTAAGTCTATTTACTGTTATATGTAGTCCTACAAATTAAGACTTAGGTTCAAGCCAATGTTATTGATTTTTCCTTTATCGCTCAGTGTTGTCTTTAGAGATTAAATTAAAAAGACTTCTAAAGTTTGACATTATCGACAATTTATTAATCTTTTATGAAACTATTCACTGTTGTATTCCATTTTCTAAATTTACTTAATTATTGGTAAAAGTAAATAATTCGATCAATAAACTACGATAATCGCAGTAGAATTTGGGGCAGTTCTTTCGAACTTTGTGGAATAGCAGTTAACTATATCTTATTATCCTGAACATATTTTAACTATAATTTTGAAATCATATAAAAAGAACCTTTATAGCAGGTTTTCATAAATAAAATTTGACATAGTTATTATTTTATTAGTTTGAAAGAGTAAAGCACATTAATTGATACTCAAGTACAATGAAAAATAATACACTAATGTAATGGATTTGGCTACTATTTACATGACTTTTCTGATAATGCATGAAAAATTTAATGCCCCCTTAAAATGATCTTTAAGTCAAAATAATGTAAATATATACTTATTAAGTTTGAGAACCATTATTCCCAATTGTTTTTAAAAGCTCTATAAAACAAAATATCTATTATTTTTCATGATTTTTAAAATGCTAAAAATGTGTTATAACTCTTAAAAATGTTTAACAACTCTACCAATTAAAGTGGTTGAGAACTAACAACTTTGACTAAGCATTGAAATTAATATTAATTATAGACAAACCAAATTTACAAACAACCTTATAATACCACTATTTTGGTAATAACTTATAAACCATGGAGTATCGTGACTTTAGATCAAGAATGTATTTAGTAATACTATTTCGGTTGTTTTGCAATATTGCTTTTTAGGGTTGTTCGGCCGTCATGATTGAGAAACTGTTCTTTAAGTTTCGCCATAACGCGTTAATGACATCATTAGGAAATGATCAAACACCTCAAAAAGCTAAGCTACATGTTAGGAAGAAAGATTATGAAACAGGCATACCCGCCACCCACGAATTTTCAAAATTTTTGTCGAATTTTGTCCTGAACTGACAATTTTTATCAAAGATTATCAAAATAGTGAGTGTCTATAAAGCAGCGTAATTTCATCGTTAGTACTATGATGGGTATCGAGTATGGCGCCACACGCGATCGCTTCGTCGGTGAATGCACTGCGCAAAGACCGTCTCGTTTCTAGCAATCGGGGTTTTTGCGTCTTATCCTTATTAAAGCGCTTTACGTAATTCTTTAATTCCGTTAAGGATCGACACGATATACTATCGTGCAGCTTATTTGAGATTCGTTTTATTGAATGCAATGCATTTAGAGACTTACCCCTACATAATCGAAACATATACCTATGGGAAATAGTCGATTTTCAGCGTTCTTTGTGTTGTCCTTGACAATTGAAAATATTCTTACTTAAATACTGTCTATAGTTTACGCGAGTAGTAGACATTAAATAAAACACTTTTACTGTTTAAAACGCGATTTCCATAAGTGAAACTTATTTGAAAATAGACCTTAATTACGGTCCGATGTTTCGGATGCTTTGCAGCCGCCGTGGTCACGGGGACGCTGAAAATAATTTTCAAATAAGTTAAACTAATATATATCACGTTTAAAACCGTTAAAGTGTTTTATTTATATATTTTCACACCATAGTTTCTTTTTATTACAATTATAAACGATTTACGCGCTACTGCATCTAACAATTTATGGTAAAATGTATATAATATTGAGATTTTTCTGAAATAAACATTCGAGATTTTTCTGAAAGAAAGAATTCATATCATTATGTTCTACATTGATAAGAAAAGATTCTAATCTTACAAATAAGTCGTTTATACTGAATAACTTAAATGAAAATTCAAGATATCATAAAATATACATTTTTTATTTGCCTTAACTCTACCTTTATAATTGCTGTATTGTTACCAACATGTCAAATTAACGGAGAAGGTGAAAAGTAACGTAACAGGAGAATCAAAAGCACTTATAACATTGAATTTTCCGAGATTCGGACTTTAATAAACAATTCAAGAGCAGCATCTGTCATTCTTTGTTATAGTTTTGCGATCTCTGAATTTCTCGTTGTAGCCATGTTATATAAAAGATTACAGAGTCTCTTTGTTTCTGTCAACCTGCGAGTGAAATTTCGAAGCCGGTCGCTACAATAGGAAATGGAAATGCTTGGATCTCTTATTGTTAAACAAAATCTAAGGAGCTGCGAGGGTTTGTAAATTTTGTAATTGTAACTATTAGATTTTACAGCGTGTTGAATGCTAACGAAATAGCTAAAAGCTTACGTTAAGTGTCCTTCTAATGAAGTATCTGACACCTAGTCTTGAAGTGAAATAATAAAAGTGCGGTATATATTTTAATCAGCTAAATCCAGTTAAAATAGAGAAAGTGAAGTCAAAATAAACGGAATTGAAAGGAGATTGTCGTATAAAGTATTACATTGAAACTTACATCTTACAATACTTTAATTGTTAGAAGTGTATCTGACGGTTTATTAACAGTCTAGGCAACGTACTCTGTTATTAATTGTAGCGCTTACAATTGATTACAGAGCGTTTAATGTTGAGCTTTTACGCTGAAACGGGGAACCACTCTCTCAATTCAATTCAATTTTTTTTGCCTGCGCATTATCTATATTTATATATGTATAAAAGCTGAACAGTATGTTTGTTATCCCATATATTATATATTGTGAGTTATTCCATCAAAAAAAAGTGACAGAATATAATATATCTACCTATAAAGTTTAACTTACAATAACGATGAGACGCGGACGACGTCGTGAGTAACAGCTATAATTTATAAAGCTGAGGAAGAGGTTGGAAATAACAAATTTCATCTCCAAAATAAATATTTTACGCGAAGTCGCTGACACAGCTAGTAATAGTCTGTATGTACTGGCGGCAAGTCCCTTTTACTCTTCTACATTAACGTAACTCGGTTTTTCCTTTAATTTCTTATCTATTTGCTCTATAGCCGAGTCTGAACATTGCAATACTCCCGAATATGCCGTATTCAGGAACAGCTGTGACCCAATTCGGAGGCTTACGATTTCTGACTTGAGGTAGTTTCTGGGTTTGTTTTAAACCTTTAAGTAAGATGTGGCTTACTTGAAAGTTAATTTCGTTTTGTGATCCATATGTGTCATATTTTTCTTATTAAGAACAGGAATCAAGTAGGTAGTATTTTTATGAGAAGTACCATTGCATATTATTTCACAATGGAACTTCAATTGAATATTCTTACTGACAATCAAATAAGGGGAAAATATTAAATACTAGCGGTCCGTCCCGACTTCGCACGGGTAGACATAAATTGGTACAGATATTTAAGTTATAAGCATGCTAATTAAAACAACCATGAATCACTAAATAAAAAAGTAATTGTATTGTGCGTCCTCTCTGTTAACGACCGTTGTCTATCTCGCTGTGTCAGGAGCCGCTGCGAGTCCCGTGCACGCGTTCGCGAATTCCTAGCTCTATTTCCTTCAAGTCGCTGAGATGAACTTGCATTTTGTTCTGCAAAACGAACCTGAACATTCGACGATAGATTCTCTGGCTCGCGATTGGGACGCGTACACTATAATACTTTCCAGATGATCATTTTAAGGAATAAGACTCTGCAATACGACGAACTATTGCTAATCTTGCTTGGGAACTATTCTTAGATAGGTTGCGATGAAGGCTATTTATGTTAAATCAGAGAAATTATAGAATAAACTAATAATAATATAAAACAAAATTATTCAAGTTCTAAGAGAAAGTTCTGAAAAGAACTTTGACAAATATTATGAAAAAATGTTCCTAATATAAAAAAGTAGCTGGATAGCACGGTCTGATTTTGATTGGCATTTCTATCATTTTGTTAAATGTAAAAAAGGAGTTATATTGACGTAACTACAATAGTTAGACACATGGTTTCCCGAAGTTTTTTGTAGATATTGATATATTTTTAAATATTGTCAATTTTTTTTGTCCTATCATTAATACACTACACTGCGATGAAAGACATTTTATGGATAATTTTTTAACACCTTCCGTTGATTTTAATAGGAATTTCTAAAGATTTCTATAGTAATCTAGTACTAAATATAGCCTTTGTTACTCAGCGATAATGTAGTTTTTTAATGAATTATTCAAATCAGTCCAGTACTTTTTGAGTTTACTCGTTACATACAAAAATACAAATCTTTCCGCTTTATAATATTAGTGTAGATACGAATACAATAATAAGGGTAGCTACTTCGAGTTTGTGTTCGAGCTGTTCGTAATTGTAAAATGGTTCTCGA